AATGTCTATTAAACAATGTAAAATGAAAATTCGTAAAGAAATTAATAAAAGAATCAAATAGTTTATCAAATGGTTTTATGCAAAATAAAGAAGTATATGAAAAGTTAATGTAAAGTCATTTAAAGTGGCGCCCTGGTGCAATAGGCACAGCGATGAATGGTTTAGTAGGCACTCGCAACGCAATCAACTGAGCGCGGGCGTCTACCGGCCCGGCGGTCATACTTACTTATTATAAATTTTAATATTTGTAATTTTTTTGTATGTCATTTGCTTATTTAATTATGTTTAATGATTTCAACTGTGTGATACTGATATCAAGTGTAAAATAAATAAGGCATTTTCTTTGACGATTTATTCTGACATTGTTTAGGTACTACAAAATACAGACTTAAAAGGAGTCAGACATGACAACAAAAACTTAAAAGTAGTTTTTTCGTAAATGTATTATATTCTGTAAAGAGTGATCTCGCTAAAATTGTTTGCAATGATGTAACCAATATGTTCCCAAAAGGTCTTTGGTAAATTAAAAATGACCCTGTATTTAGGTATGTAATTTACGTTTTACTTAATACACAGTATAATTTCAACACAATACATAATTGCAACACAAACTTGAGGTGAATATTAATGATTTATAATAATTAAACTTAAATTTATTTGGGAGCTAATATTTTACAAACTTATTCCTGGGGTTGCCACTTCTAAAAAAAGAATTGCTACTGTCGCCCACTCATAACACGCCTTGTGACATTAAATACGAAACTAGAGTTGCGTTATAAAATATTTCGAAATTAATACGAATGCAAACTTAAAAAAATATTATATATTTGATACATCGCGATTAAATATATCGACGATTTTGTGAGAAAATATCGATATTTTGATTTATCGATATTTTTTAAACAAGCCCAATTTAAAGGTGGCACTACATTAGACTCCACTAATATTAGGTCTATTTCTGTATTATCAACACTTATTTAATTTTTGAAAAAATATTCTAGATGAAATTATTTTTTTAAATTTAAATAAATTGCTCCATTTTTTCTCGAACCTACAGTAAAAGTATAAAATATTATTATTATGTATCTTTGTGATACGTAATGACAAGGATACGTAATAATAATAATTTTAGATTTATACTGAATAAAATTATTCTGTTCTTTTCTATTCTATTCTATAGTAGTGAATACAAAATAAGTAAATCTAAGAAAAACTTGAGGTTCAACGTTTATTCAGTTTTGATAAGTATAGTTATTTTAAGTATATGTATGAATAAACGATAGAGATGGTACAGTGGAATCTTGATAACTCGAAGCTTTTTAAGTATTAATCAGAAAAAAAATTGCCATTCTCTCTCTGTTTTTTATACTTTGTAAGTCAAACAAAATGTTATTTCCATACGAGGCATTGATACTACTGTAGCTCTTTCTGGTTTAATGTCTTTAAATAATGCAGCACATTCAAATATATTGGACTGTTTATTCCACAGTAAAATATAATGCATAATAACTTTAAGTTTTAATTGTGAGGTGTATGGACCTATGTCATATCGAGACTGCTATATGAATGCGAATGATTTAAACGCGATAAAATCCGTAAAAAATAGTTTTATTCAATGAATGCGAATGAATGAAAAAGGTCGAGGAAAAAGTTTCTTCGTAGTTTATTTGTATAAAATTACAGGAAAATCTCTTTCTACTGTTTGTATATGGCTGGTTTTAATATCAATACATATAGGACATTAAGAAAAAGAAAAAGTCTCTCGTTAACAACGTTGTAAAGATTGGGAGTGTGTCGACGAGGGTTATACTCACTCATACTTATACTCAGAATCACCAAAGGGTATACGCTGAAGGTCATACAGGCTTACGCACCAATCTCGGCACACCCCGATGAGGAGATGGAGGAAATGTATGAGGATATCTCTCAAGCCATGCATTCCTCCAAAACCCACTATACGGTATTAATGGGAGACTTCAATGCAAAACTAGGCACAAGAGAGAACGGTGAGCTGAAAGTAGGGAAATTCGGAATAGGGCAACGGAACCCAAGGGACCAGCAGCTGACCGACTTCCGATTTCATGGAGAAAGAGGGACTCTTTATGATGAACTCTTTCTTCCGTTAGCGGCCCCACAGGAAGTGGACCTTGTCGAGCCCCAACGGTCCGACAATAAATGAGATTGACTTCATTATGACGACCCGACTACAACTCTTCAGTGATGTCTCAGTGATCGCAAGGTCTCGTCTAATGAAGTCTCGCTCTGTCCCCCTCGTGCTCTAGTCCAAAGTCTCGAAACATTTCAGCTCGAGTTACAAAACCGTTTTCAGTGCCTGGAAGACTAAAGAAGTGGACGATTTGAATGATAAGCTCGTGGAAACTGTCCATGCGGTCGGAGCTAAGTTCTGCAAGATCCGCCGCAGAAGAACACAAAAATAATCTCATGGCTGTTAGACGGGAAATGAAGCTGCAGTCTTCAACAGATTTGACAGCATACAGGCAACTGAACAGACAGATCTACAAATGCATGCGGCGAGACTTACGCAACTTCAGTAGAGCTTGTATTGAAGAAGCGATCTTCAATACAAGTCGAGTCAATCGAAAGTCTTTGCCAAAGATCTGTCTGCCAGAAAGAGCCAACTGTCAAAGCTGAAGACCGAGTGTGGCAGCATCGTTTCCTGGACACCTGAGATTTTGAGTGAGATTGAGAGGTTCTATGGGCAGCTGTACACGTCATCGTTGGAGCCACACGCAAGTGTGAGTAACGATCCAAGAGCGAGTCTTATCCGACACTATTCCAAAGATATTCCGGACGTCAGTCTGACCGAGATTAGAATGGCTCTCCAGCACCTTAAAAACGGCAAGTCCCTGGGCGAGGATGGAGTTTCAGCGGAGCTTCTGTATACTGAAAACCGGTACTTGAAGTCCTTCAGAAGCTCTTTAATTCCGTACTCCATGGTGGTCCTACTCCGGAGGCGTGGAGCAGAAGTGCGGTGGTCTTGTTCTTCAAGAAAGGCGATAACGCTGTCTTCATTGTCTCGCACCCAGACTCGACGACTTCCAGCCTCCGCAACAAGCCGATTTCCGAAAAGGCTTTGGTACCATAGAACACATACACACCCTTCGGCAAATTGTACAGAAGACAGAAGAGTACAATCTGGCACTTTGCCTTGCGTATGTGTACTATGAGGAAGCCTTTGATTCCGTCGAAATTTGGATGGTGCTACAGTCCCTTCAGCGGTACCAAGTTGACTATCGGTATATCGAAGTGCTGAAGTGTTTGTATGGTAGGGCTACGATGGCTATCCGAGTACAGAACCAGAGTACGAAACCGATCCAACTGCAGAGAGGTGTAAGACAGGTCGACGTTATATCCCCGAAACTCTTCACCGCTGCATTGGAAGACGTTTTCAAGCTACTGGACTGGAAAGGATACGGTGTTAACATCAATGGCGACATACATCGTACATCACTCACCTTCGATTTGCCGACGATATAGTCCTTATGGCAGAATCGCTGAACGACATAAGCACTATGCTCAATAACCTCAATAGTGCCCCCAACGGATAGGTCTTAAGATGAACATGGACAAAACAAAGATCATGTTTAATGTCCATGTTACACCTATGCCGGTAGTTATTGGGAGCACTAAGCTTGAAGTTGTTGACGAGTATGTTTACCTGGGACAAGTAGTCCGACTAGGTAAGTACAACTTCGACTGAGAGGTCAATCGAAGGAGTCAGGTATACCTCAAAACTTGAAAACGAGACTACAATCAGTGCGTGTTGCCAGTGATGACCTATGGAACTGAGACGTGGTCCTTCACTGCTGGCCGGATGAGGAAGCTCAAGGTTGCTCAGCGAGCTATGGAGAGGGCTATGCTCGGAGTTTCTCTGCGTGATAAACTTAGAAATGAGGATATCCGCAGTAGAACCAGAGTGACCGACATAACCTCGACTCGAATAACCGACAACCGATGAGGAAAAAAGGTTCTCGAGTGGCGGTCTCTTATCGGCGGACGAAGTGTAGGGCGTCGCCCCACTAGATAGAGTGACGACCTGGTAAGATATGCAAGAAGTCGATGGATGCAGGTGGCTCAGGACCGTACTTTGTGGCATTCTTTGGGGGAGGCCTATGTTCAGTAGTGGACTTGTGAACGGCTGTAATGATGACGATGATGCTGTGTGTATGGTGTGATTGGAAGGGCATCGTTTTATTTACCGTCGAGCGAAGCTTTTACCGTTGGGCAAAACCATCAATTCGGATCTCTACTGCCAACAATTAATGAGACTCAAGCAAGAAATAGAGAAAAGTGGCCGAAAAGGAGTGGTCTTTCATCGTGATAACGCCAAACCACACACATCTTTGGCCACTCAGCAAAAATTGAAAGAACTTCGTTGGGAAGTTATAATGCATCCATCATAGTCCTGATTTTTCACTCTTAAATTTTCACCTGTTCCGGTCTCTTCAGAAATCTTTGGGTAGTGTTAGGTTAACATCAAGAGAGAACTGTCAAAATTACTTCTAGCATTTTTTGATCAAAAATTGCAAAAAACAAGATGGCTACAAGTTATACAAAATGGCACATATATATTGTAATTAAATGTAATTAAATTTAGAAGAACCTTTTTCCCGACCTTATACTATATAACTCGAATGTCATAAAACCGACTCCGTAAGTCGAACTTAGTAAAATATAATCTTACTTACTTGGAATTCTCCGAATTCACAGTCACCATATCCAAAGGGAATGTTTGTTGCTCCTGTTCTATTGTGTGTACTTTGTACTCGTGCAATGGATGCATACATTAATTAAATTTTCTAAGGAACATATTATGTCATATCAGTCGATAACTCGTAAACTCGGAAATTTTATCATTTCCCTTGAAAATGGAGTTGTCGATATTCCACTGTATTTTTTTATTATTTTTAATTTAATAATCAAACTTTTTGAATGATTGTAAGTTTACGTTAGTTTAATGAAGTGTCGGGTTGTGGCAGGTGCGCGGCGCGCGGCCTCACGTGACGACGGGCGTGGTGCACGCGGACGAGCCGGCCGCGCTCTCGCTCTGGCTCAAGAGCATCGCCGACAACATCCTCGCGCTCACCAACCTGCAGGTGTGTATGTGTGTGTGTCGGGTTGTGGCAGGTGACGACGGGCGTGGTGCACGCGGACGAGCCGGCCGCGCTCTCGCTCTGGCTCAAGAGCATCGCCGACAACATCCTCGCGCTCACCAACCTGCAGGTGTGTATGTGTGTGTGTCGGGTTGTGGCAGGTGACGACGGGCGTGGTGCACGCGGACGAGCCGGCCGCGCTCTCGCTCTGGCTCAAGAGCATCGCCGACAACATCCTCGCGCTCACCAACCTGCAGGTGTGTATGTGTGTGTGTCGGGTTGTGGCAGGTGACGACGGGCGTGGTGCACGCGGACGAGCCGGCCGCGCTCTCGCTCTGGCTCAAGAGCATCGCCGACAACATCCTCGCGCTCACCAACCTGCAGGTGTGTATGTGTGTGTGTCGGGTTGTGGCAGGTGACGACGGGCGTGGTGCACGCGGACGAGCCGGCCGCGCTCTCGCTCTGGCTCAAGAGCATCGCCGACAACATCCTCGCGCTCACCAACCTGCAGGTGTGTATGTGTGTGTGTCGGGTTGTGGCAGGTGACGACGGGCGTGGTGCACGCGGACGAGCCGGCCGCGCTCTCGCTCTGGCTCAAGAGCATCGCCGACAACATCCTCGCGCTCACCAACCTGCAGGTGTGTATGTGTGTGTGTCGGGTTGTGGCAGGTGACGACGGGCGTGGTGCACGCGGACGAGCCGGCCGCGCTCTCGCTCTGGCTCAAGAGCATCGCCGACAACATCCTCGCGCTCACCAACCTGCAGGTGTGTGTGTGTGTGTGTGTGCGTGCGTGCGTGCGTGCGTGCGTGCGTACGTGCGTGCGTGCGTGCATATTTGTTTTGTTTTCCACTTTAGGTTAAATATTTTCCTCAATGAAATATGTTCAAATAGAAGCAAACTCATCTGCATTAAGCCCACCTTCCGTTTCGTTCCATACAAAACAATGGCCATCTTTGGCTATATATCTGTGCTTTTATAATAATAAAAGCACAGATTATGCACTTCATGTTTAGTTTTGTAGTACAATGTGCTAACATTTGACTTAGGTGCCATTAAAACTGCTTGAAGATCTACTGTGAATATCAAACTATTATTCTCTTTATCTGTTTGTTTTTCTGTTTTCTTTTCTAGCTTCTTTTTTCAATACATCTAATTGGTAATCATGTTCTTCCATTGTCCCAGCCTTATATCTAGCACATATTTCACATTCGTCCTTTTTGGGTCTAAACAGAGAAAGATTTTTCGATGCCATAACCTCAAAGAAAGTAGTTTTAGATAGCGGTAACCATACGTGTGCGATTTGCACCAGTCAGATACGTAAAACTTATATAAATCCATTTTTGTTTTCCAATCAGTTTGCAGATATTTTTTGGAAGATGAAGCTCGACAGTAATGGGATTCCATTGTTGGTAGGGAGTCAAAAATTCGGCCATTGATTTTTGCCCGTTTGCAAAAGGGTTAACTCTATCTTTAGTAACATTAAGTTGACTAGGAATACAAGTATTATCTATCATTCTATCTTTCCAAGCAATTACAGTCATTCTTCCTTTTCCCAAAGTATTTAAATACATAGTTTTGCAAACTTACATCAGATGTTTTTAAATTATACTTGAATGATTGTGCTCGTTGAGAATTATCAGACACTTTTCGATCCCTTTGGCGTTTTGTTGGAACTGACTGAATAGTATCATTAACAAATATTTTCTTCTCCCCCCATGTATATGTTTTCCAAAATTGGTTGAATATTTTCATTCTTTCATCATCACTTAATTATGCCTGTTTTTATGTACATTTGCATTTGTCTTTTAAACACTTTGGTTCTCTTAAACTTTCATAGACCCATTTCGAATTTATTTTTATTTTGCCATAATATTGAGAGCGCTTATCGCGTTATTTTTTTTTTTCTGCAAACCAGGTATTTTTTTTTACTTGAGATCGTCTTTTTCTGAATTTACTCTTCTTAGGCAAGGAGGTATCGCTATCGTTTTCTGAACTTGATGAGTATGGAACTAATTTAGGATGGCCTAATTATCACTAAAATTGGATATTAAATCACAGTTTTCTACACAAGTGTTATTAAAAATTTCGGGCATCGGTGAATCGTAAACCATAACATTATCATTAATTTCTAAAGAATTGATATTGCCAATTATCGTATATATATGCTTTTTCACTAGGTGGTAGAGCCATGCTGCAGCTATATTATGGTTGTAGCACGAATGAGTCGGCTCGAACGGGGAAGGACCACGCTCTCACAGAAAACCAGCGTAAAATAGCAGCTTAACGCTGCTGTGTTTCGTATGGTGAGTGTAGAGAACCGGAGACCCTTTTTACTTGAAAAGAGGCATTCCATCTTAGTCCTCAAGGCTGATAACGCATCTGCATTTTGATTCGCAAACGAGGATAGATGTAGATGTCTATGGGTCACAGTAACCACTTACCATCAGGTGAACTGTGTGCTCGTTTGTCACCCGAACTTATATAAAAAAAAGTTGCGTCAAATATAGTAATAAAATCAGGAACATCAACTATTTCAATCTGTGCATTTTCTACTAGGGAGCAATGTTCAATGTTATCTTCCAACGTTAAATTTAAACTAGATTCAGTAGGGTAGTCTATCATATTGATAACATTGTTTAATGTGTTAGTGTATCTACTATCCTGATCAGCATCAAAATTATTGTGAATAGTGTTATTTCCCTTATTAAGCAATAATTCTTGTCGCGTAGTAAGAAAATCGCTCTGTTGTTCCTTATTAAGAGTTAAACTGATAAGCTTCTTTGCTCTATCTGAAGCTATCTGTAGATTAAACAAAAGCAAAATAAGCCGCCACACCAAGCAAAGCACATAAATATTTTTTTTAAAATAGGTACTAGTAATGCTGTTAAACATTACTAATATTCCCTTTAACCACTTCTGGTAAGCTTAAAATGTTTGTGCTAGAAGTGGTTCACGACAGTAGTCGAATGGCGGATTTGAACCTACGACCTTTCGAGGTGACGGTCAGCGCTCTGCCATTAGGCTACTGACGCTTCAATTGAATAATTGAACCCACAACCTAAGCAGTAAAATATTTTATCGTTACTACTGTGCTGTCGAACACCATTACAAAACCAAGCACATTAAAGAACCTTAACCAGGTTCTTTAATTTTCAAATAAAGTGTCAAAATACCAAAATAAAGTTATAAAACTAGTATGTAAAAAATAAAAATATCCAACTCATAAACAATAAATGGAAAAGGAAGAAATAAATTATGCTAACTCCCTTATCATGCAAGTTTACATTTCGTTTGTGCATTCGTATCAATTATGCTTAGATATATGTATCAAAATAATAAATACATTATAGAATAGTACTTACATTTGACATAAAATACCAGTAACCTGCCAAGTTGCAAAAACTAGTTCAAAATTGAGCAAAAAACCTTATGTTTTAGAATAAAACTCTCGGGAACACTGATAGTACTGCGTACGCAACTAGAACATGGCGTCGAAGTGCGGGAGTTAACATGATTTCGCGCGTGATTTGACACGCGTGGAGTTAGCATAAAAGATTGCGGCGCGAAATCTATAACCTGGGTTTAGTTTACGTAGTTAGCATGTTTGACGATTATGCGTTATTTTTTTCTCTTTAGTTAGATACTAAATAGTCAATTTGGCCAAAAATGGAGTTAGCAGCTTAGAATTTTTAGCCGAGGATATACTAAAATCATATCTTTCTATGGAAAACTCAAGATTTAGAAGAACAATTGAACCAGAGAAAAGACTGTTGTATGTTTGAGGTAAGTATTTTTATTGATAATTAAGTAATCAGGTATAATTGGATTTTTGAATTAAATTTAACAATTTTTTTAGGTCAGTATTTAAATAATTTATCTCCAAGTATTCATATTGATAATCGATGCAATAAAAAAATCAAATTATGAATAATTAATTACGAATTAATTAAAAGTTATAAAAATACAAAAATTATCACGTAAGTCGAAGCCACCAATTATTCTGGAAAATCAACTAAGTTGGCAACATTAGACAACACTGAGTATCAGCACGCGCCGAACGCGCCGAGCGCGCCGCGTTATATGATGTCATCAGTATGCGTCCTGCAATATTCGGATACCCTGCATGTTATAAAATTCGGCGCGTACGGTGCGGACAAATGTGCGTTCAGCTTTTGTGGACGATGCAATATTAACTGTGAATATATTGTTACTAATTATGCTGTCTGTCTATTTGTTTATCTGTTGGGTATAAATTTTGCAATTGATTAAAACATCCTTGAAACTGAGACTTGAAACTTAAAACATAGATCAGAACTGGACAATTATATTAAATGATCTCAATTTTGAACTAGTTTTTAAGTTTTCTATCAACGATTATAACTGTCAACTAAAGATTTATTCGGCCCATTTATTAATAGTGTCAGAGAAATTATATATTCATCTGGGCGACAGATGAAGCTGTTCAACCGGCACCTGAGCGGTGGCGAGCGAATCGAGTACATGGGCTGGGTGCATGAGGGGCTGGTGAGCGCGGCGCAGCCCTGGCAGACCTACACGCCGCGCTTCCTCGTGCTCAAGGGCACCGACGTCATGCTGTTCGACGTGCCGCCCGTGAGTACACACACACGCACACTCACACGCTCACACACACGCACACATATATAACAGTAGTAGAGCTGCGCGGCAGCTTTTTCTGTTGCACGTATGTGCAGGCTCGAACCGGGGTGAAGTGGAAGCTCTGCTTCTGCTTTTCATCTGGTGTGTCCAGGTTGCCGGACGCTCAATTACCCCCCACATCAACATGGTAGCGGAATTAAAGGTAAGACTACTCCAGGAGGGAGGAGCAATAACACCAAGGCGATCCCTGCCACGCTATCCGTGAATTTCTGCAATATCAAGGGATATCATTCGAACCTAAACGCCGTTTACTACCATGTCGAGACGGCGAAGCCGGCCATGGTCTTTCTGACCGAGACGCAGGTGTCCTTTCCGGCTGATACTTCGTATCTCTCCTACCCGGGGTACACCTTTGTGCCTCGGGCTGGAGTTTGCGTATATGTCAGAGAGGACATCTGTTCTCGCCGCCTCGGCAGTCTTGAACGTTCGGACCTGTCCATTTTTTGGCTACACGTAAACAGCGACAACCATCCGAACGTCTACGGCTGCCTCTACAGGTCCCGTAGCGGTTACTTCGCCTACGCGGATCCCAGATGTGGAAGACCATGTACCTTCCCTGTTGAACCTTCTGCTGACCTCTCATCCGGACGGATATCAGGTCTCCGTCGATGCCCCTCTGGGCTCTTCGGACCATTGTCTGATCCGGAGTACGGTGCCACTCACGCTCCAATCGCAGTTGCGATCTGCAGCTTGCCGCCGTGTTTGGCACTATAGGTCAGCTGATTGGGACGGGATGCGGTCTTTTTTTGCATCCTACCCTTGGGGGCGGGTTTGCTTCTCGCCGGAAGATCCCAGCGTTGTTGCCGATTTTGTTGCTGATGTGGTACTTCAGGGTATGGAACTTTTTATTTCACCCTCTGTGGTGCCCATCGGAGGCAGATCCCAGCCATGGTTTGGTCGCTCCTGTAAAATAGCATCACGCTATAAGCAGGAGTGCTACCGGGCCTGGGCTGACGCATCAACGTCTCGGGATGTAAACACCAGCGCACTTAAAAAGAAGTATAATTCCGCCTCCAGGTCCTTCAAAAGCGTCATTGCCAAGGCAAGGTCTGAGCACATCGGCAGAATTGGCGAGAAAATAGTTCGCCTTCCTTCGGGAACCCGTGCATTCTGGTCTCTCGCCAAGGCTGTCCAAGGGAACTTCTGTCAGCCATCTCTTCCATCTCTGCACAGGGAGGACGACTCACTGGCCCATGCCGCAAAGGAGAAAGCCGATCTGTTGGGCTCTCTTTTTGCATCCAACTCGACTCTAGATGACGGGGGGAACACACCGCCGACCATCCCGCGATGTGAGTGCTCCATGCCGGATGTGCGGTTTACACAGCGCTCGGTTCGCAAAGCACTCTTCTCCCTGGACGTCAGCAAGTCGAGTGGGCCCGATGGAGTCCCTCCCATTGTGCTGAAGACGTGTGCTCCGGAGTTGGCACCGGTTTTAACGCGTCTTTTCCGATACTCCTACTCCCAAGGCGTAGTCCCGAATTCATGGAAGACAGCTTTGGTCCACCCGATCCCTAAAACAGGCGACCGCTCAGACCCATCCAACTACAGGCCTATTGCCATCACCTTCTTGTTCTCCAAAATAATGGAATCCATTATAAACTGCCAGCTCATGAGGTACCTTGAGGATCACCAGCTGGTTAGTGACCGCCAGTACGGTTTTCGTCGAGGTCGATCAGCTGGTGATCTTCTAGTCTATCTGACTCATAGATGGGAGGCAGTAGAGTCCAAGGGGGAGGCATTGGCCGTTAGTTTGGACATAGCGAAGGCCTTCGATCGGGTCTGGCACAAAGCGCTTCTTTCGAAGCTTCCTTCCTATGGGCTTCCCGAGAAATTGTGCAAGTGCATCACCAGTTTTCTTGCTGATCGGAGCATCAAGGTCGTAGTAGACGGTGCATGCTCTGATTTCAAGCCTATCAACGCTGGTGTTCCACAAGGCTGCGTGCTATCACCCACGCTGTTTCTCCTGCATATCAATGATATGTTGCTAACTAGTAGCATTCATTGCTATGCAGACGACAGCACAGGTGATGCCTTATATAACGGCCGTGCCAATATTTCGCGGGAAATCGTCGCTGAGTACCGGAACAAACTTGTGTCTGAAGTCGAGTCTTTGCTTAACAAAGTCTCGGAATGGGGCCGACTAAATCTAGTCCACTTCAATCCCCAGAAGACACAAGTTAGCGCGTTTACCGCTAAATAGAACCCCTTTGTCGTATCTCCTCAGTTTCAAGGCACTCCCCTTGCTGCCTCAGCTAGTATCGGAATCCTTGGCGTCGACATCGAATAGTGTGCAGTTTCGTGGTCACTTGGAAGGGAAGGCCAAATTGGCCTCTAAAAAGCTTGGCGTGCTCAGCAGAGCGAGACAGTATTTCATGCCGGCACATCGCTTGCAACTTTACAAAGCGCAAGTTCGGCCCTACATGGAATACTGTTCTCATCTCTGGGCCGGGGCACCCCAGTGCCAGCTCCTTCCACTTGACCGCATCCAGCGCAGAGCGGTTCGAATCGTCGACGATCGAGTTCTTTCTGATCGGCTCGATACACTGGCACTGCGTAGAGATGTTGCATCTCTTTGCGTATTTTATCGCATCTATCACGGGGAGTGCTCTGAGGAATTGTTCGGACTAATTCCAGCCGCTCAATTTCACCATCGCACATCGCGACAAAACTCGCGTTACCATCCATACCATCTGGATGATTGGCAGTCCACCACTGTGCGATTTAGAAGAAGTTTTCTCCCTCGCACAACTTCCTTGTGGAATCAATTACCACCAGCGAATTTTCCGGACCGATACGACTTAGGAACCTTCAAGAAAAGAGCTTACACCTTTCGAAAAGGCCGGCAACGCATCTGCAATTCCCCTGGTGTTGCGGTTGTTCATGGGTGGCGGTAGTCACTTACCATCAGGTGAGCCGCATGTTCGTTTGCCCCCTCTTCTATATAAAAAAAAAAGCGGTAATGCCGAAACAGACCGACGCATCGATCACGTCCAAATGGCTACAGATTCGTTGCTGCAACAGGTCCCATCCGCTTTGCGTTCCTTAGCGTACGGACGTGCCAGTGCGATATCCGCGTTTTAAATTCATTAAAAGTGTCCCAAGTAATTTTTATTTTATAGTGTTCGTGGCATATGTGGTTATAATTTGTGATATATTTTCTTAAGTTTTTATTTGTTTTAGTGTATTTATAAAGGTTTTTATGAAATAATCGTTCAGTGCATCGTGATATTACTTGGATTATCCCTGTACTGACCTAAGTATTTCTAAGTTTAATCATTTCGTTTTAGTTATTTTAATTTGTAAGTAATATTTCCACAGTATTATTACATCTTTAATTTAATTTAATTTCGTTTAACCTTAAAATTGAGGTTATTTTGTAAGCACATGGTGAGCACGTGATTACAGTTGTCAGTTTCAATTGACGTTTGCCGCTGTCAGATTTAATTGACGTCTGACGTCTGACGTTTGGCAGCTGTTGGTGTCATTGTCGCTGGCACTGTATTGCCAGATTTAAACATTTAATTTCAACCTGTTTTATTTATTTTCTTTTTATTTCTCTTTGATATTTATTTTGTACGTGTATTTTAGTATTTATTCAATTTCTACGGTTGGTACGGAACGGCAGCTCATCGAGGATGAGCTAACCAGAAAACAGGCTGATGAGTTTGAACAGATGCAGCGAAAGGCCGGTTTTACGCCGCGCTCCTCGTTGCGTCGCACTCCCCCGCAAGGGTTCAGCACACCCCCGGCCCTATTAAGCACGTCTGCGGCAGCATCCATCCCGACGGTGAAAAGGCCATTAACCTCACCTGAGGACGGGCAGGAGGCCGTAAGGCGCCGTGTTGCGGATAAAAAGTCGGCAATTCCGCCTGTTAGTGGCATATTGTGCAAGCCCTTTTCTGACCCATCCTCAGGTTCTGGTAATCCCTTACGGTCCACTTATCCTGATAGCTCCAGAGAGGGTACATGCGGCTTTTAAAGGAATCGCAACTGTCGCCAATGCGAGCAACAAGCTCAACTTGGCTGATAAGACTATCATGGGCAGCCTCAGCCAGGACATCTTAGCGTACGTGGCAACGCTAGAGATTAGGGTCGGAGAAATGGAACAAGAGGTAACAGCCTGTAAGCTTAAGTGTGCGCAGCTGGAGCTCTCGGTAGCCCAAACTCAAAACCTTCCTGCCCCTCCTTTCCCCTGCGTGGCCTCTTCCATTTCTGTTGCTGACAGCTATGCTGCCAGACTGAAGCTGCCTAAGGGTAAGCCGTCACTTTGTGTCTAGTCCAAGGGCCCGGCAGTGATTGTTTATCCAAACAATGAATCTATAAAGTCGTCGGACGACACAAAGACTGAGTTGCAGAAGGCAGTTCAGCCTGGCACCCAGGGTATTAAAAAACATAGTGTGCGTAAAGTTGGGAACTTCGGCATTGTGGTATAGACGGCTACTATTGATGCTGCCCAAAAACTGAAGGCAGCGGTTCCGCCCTCTTTGAAGGTCTCTGATCCGAAAAGTATGAGGCCACTGGTGGCAGCGCACAATTTGCGCTCGGACCCGCCAGCCACTGTCTTCCTGGAGGATTTGTACAGGATCAATCTGAGCGATGATCCTGACTGGCCAAAAGATAAGTTTAGCGAGTCATGCAGAGTTGCCTTCAAGAAGGGCCGGAAAGATGGATCACGCACCACCACTGTAGTGATGGAGTGCACATCTGCGCTGCGGGATAAATTAACGGTCTTCATTGGTTGGGACGAAGCTGAAGTATGCGATCACGTACAGGTGACATGCTGCTCTAAATGTCAGCAGTATGGCCATTCGGAGAAGCATTGCAGGGCGACAGCAATGGTGGGCAAATGTGGCGAGACCGGTCATCGTGCCGCAGAGTGCTAGTCGGTCAGCTTAATTTGCAAGGCTCGAAGATTGCTACCACTGAGCTTCCTGTCATAGCCGGAGAACTGGGGTTGGATCTCATACTAGTTCAGGAGCAACATCAGCATCCTCGAGTACTAGGGTGTGGCACCAACCCTAAGGCCGGTCTATTACCAGTAAGTTCACGATTTATAGTCATTCCAGTCATAGTCATGTCAGTGTTCGTTACATGACTTATGCCAGAGCAGTCATATACGTCAGAGCAGAGCATATACGTCGTATCGCTATACTGCCAGTACAGTCATTACATCTCTTGTCACCTGCAACATCTCACACACGTGATGGATCAGCTTTCTGGTCACCCAATCCTTATTGGTGTGGACAGTAACGCTCACTCTCCAATGTGGCACTGCGAGCGCAGGCAATATGTAGGTCACAGCCCCGATACGGAATACCGAAAACTCCAGATGGAGGGATTCATCCTCGGACGGAATTTGTTGGTACATAATGTGGAGGGTCAACCGCCAATCTTTCATAGTCCAAATGGCTCATTCAACGTGGATATCACCATCTCCACACGTAGTGTGGGGGTTGCCGACTGGAAGGTGCGAGGGTGTCAGTGTGAGTGACCACCAGTTGATAAAGTTTGGCATTATCCTTGGTGACTCACGGAGGTATGATGGCACAGAATTTTCAGATAACGCATGTTACTTTCTTGAACGTGGTGTGAACTGGGGAGGATTCTGTTCGATTCTGCATGCCCGCATGTCCCAGCTGAGGCTAACGCGGCCAGCTAGTGATATATGCGAGCAGTACTCTGCAATACTTCTACGTACTGCGAGAGAACGATTAGGTACACGTGCGAAAAAGGAGAAAGGAGGGTACGAGTGGTGGTCTCCGGCTCTTGACCGTATGCGTAACGAGGTCTATTGTGCACGTCGTAAGTGGCAGGCCTCACGTCGCGTAGGAGGCGACAGGGAGAAGGCACTACATGATTACCTCCGAGCAACAAGGATACGCTACAAACTAGCCATGAAAGAAGCTGAACTTGCCTTCTTTCGCTCCGTCGCGGAGTCTGGTAACGCCGATCCGTGGGGCCTGGCTTACCGAACAGCCAGTGGACGATTTCGTCCACCTCTCAACGTGCTAAATGGAGTGAGATTAGCCAACGGCTATACTAGGACAACAGGAGACACCATGCTTGGCCTCGTCAATGCCTTATGCCTAGACGATAATCTAGTCAGGGACACTGAATTCCATCGACAAGTGCGGATCGCTGCTGTATGTGCTCCATCTGGATTCTGGACCGACCAAGGAACAAGTTGGACTCATCATTCGAGAGCTGCCGAACACTGCACCCGGCATTTACGGTATCACGGCTATGATTGTTAGACAGGCATGGCGGGTGACTGGCGACGAAATCTGGCACATGTTTAGGGCGTACATAGTCGAGGGCGTTTTTCCAGATCAGTGGAAGATAGGCAAACTGGTTATTCTGCCGAAGGGTGGCGACAGGCCGCTCACTGACGCTAAGGCCTACCGCCCGATAACTTTGCTGCCCATATTGGGAAAAATTCTAGAGCGCGTGATCATTTCCTGCGCTCCATGTCTCTACCGCGGAATCTCCGACGCACAACATGGCTTTACGCGTGGCCGATCCACAGTGACCCCCCTTAGTACCTTAGTACCGAACCGAGAATTACGTGCAACTGATCCTTCTGGTCATATCTGGAGCCTTTGACAATGCCTGTTGGCCAATGGTCCTACTCAAGGCAAAACAATGTGGCGTTCCATCTAAATACCGTATTTTAACGAGTTACTTTATAAATCGCCGAATAGGACTGTTTGCTGGAAACCGGGTAGTGTGAAAGGTCTCCACGAAGGGCTGTCCTCAGGGATCGGTGCTGGGACCAACCCTATGGAACCTCCTACTCGATGACCTCCTGAAGCTGCCAAAAGTACAGTTACAGAGTACAATTCGTTGCTTACGCCGACGATGTGACGATCGTGATCGAAGCATCGTCTCGTTCCGTAATAGAGGGCAAAGCGGCAGCTATGATTGCTGCCGTGTCCGAGCGGGGTATTCGTAACAGACTAGGGTTTTCTACTGGGAAGTCACAAACGATGACCTATAAGGGCAAGTTTAAACGTGGACTAATTATAAAGATGGACGGTGCAGCGATCACGAGTGTTTCACAGGCAAGAGCCCTAGGAATAATTTTGGACAAGGCTAGGTCCTATGTGCAGCATGCATTATATATCGGCGAAAAGGCCGCTGCTTACTTCGGGAAGATGTCGCGATTGTCTTCATCGACCTGGGGCATAAGATTTCACGCCCTTATAGTTCTATATTCAGGGATCTATATGGCAACGTTGACATATGCTGCTGCCGGATGGTACCAACGGTCGTCCCTCTATGTTATCAGAAGTGTACTGATGAGGACGCAAAGACCAGCTTTCATTCTTCTCACGAAGGCTTACAAGACGGCTAGCAACACAGCGCTACCGGTGTTGGCGGGCGTATTGCTTGCCGACCTAGAAGTTTTTCGTACGGGACGAGTCGACGAGGAGGGGATGGGTTTGGTCGAGAAGGAGCGCAGTAAGAAAAAGAGGGAGATGATGGCGGATGTCTTTGCCATTTGGCAGGACCGGTGGGATTCAAGCCAAGATGGCAGGGATCTTTACAAGTTTTTCTCGGACATCGCAGAGCGTCTAATCTTCAGGTGAGTCGAGCCCGATTATGCAGTATCGCAGATTCTGGTTGGTCACGGGTGTTTCAACGAGCTTCTCCTAAAATTCAACCTTAGGAACTCTGATTTATGCCCCTGTGTCTTAGCATTGGAGAGTCGTGACCATGCTCTCTGGGATTGCGATCTGTACATTGAAGAGAGGAACGCATTATTGGACAGCCTACAAATAACAGAAATAGGACCATTATACTTCCGGGACCTAGTGTGCTGCGAATCCAACATACATGGCATTACAAGAGGAAACAATATGAGGACTGAACAATACAAACAGATAACTGCGAAAGAGATATGTCGTCGCTGTGGAGTCACGCCCCAGAAGGAGGAGAAGTGAAATGTAGAGAAAAGGGACGGATCAGAAAGATTTGTAGGGAATCAAGAAAGCGCATGCGGGAAAGAGCCCAGAGCAAGTACCGTGTGCGTCTCTCGTGATTCGGCCCATATGCCACAAGGCGGGGAAGACCATGGGATGGTGGAGGTCCGCAGAGATCGTGATCCTTGGCGATTTTAACGGCCACCACGCCGAACGGCTTGGTTCACGTTTAACCGATCATGCGGGGAGATCTGTTCATTATTTTGCCTTGGCATATGGTCTGACACAACTGGTTACTTTGCCTACGCGGATTCAAGATGTGGAAGATCATGCACCTTCCCTGTTGAATATTCTGCTGATCTCTCATCCGGACAGATATCAGGTCTCCGTAGACACCCCTCTTGGCTCCTCGGACCATTGTCTATGCCGGAGTGTGGTGCCACTCACGCTGAAATCGCGGTTGCTTGCTGCAGCCCGCAACCGCGATTTCAGAGCAGGTTCGGCCTCACATGGAATACTGTTTCCATCTCTGGGCTGGAGCTCCCCAGTTCCAGCTCCTTCCACTTGATCGCATCCAGCGTAGAGCGGCTCGAATCGTCGACGACCGAGTCGTTTCCGATTGGCTCGATTTACTGGCGCTGCGAAAAGATGTTGCATTTTCTTTCGCATTTACCACGGGGAGTGGTCTGAGGAATTGTTCGGATTAACCTAACCGCCAAATTTCACGAACGCACATCGTGGCAAAACTCCTGATACCAACCACACCGTCTGGATGCTTGGCGGTCCACCACTGTACGCTTCACTAGGAGTTTTCTTACCCGTACGACCTATCTGTGGAATAATTTACGCCGACAATTTTTCCGAACCGATACGACTTAGGGACCTACAAGTACGCACACACGCACACAAACACACACGTACACACTCTATATGCCGCGCTCCTTGGCAGACCTACACGCCGCTTAATTATTTTATTTTAATAATATTTTGTATATTATGATCACGTTTTGTATACATAAAGTGCACATCTGTATCGTCGACTGTCGCAGATGAACATAGCGGAGCTGGCGAAGTGCCCGGAGACGTTGAAGGTGTACCAGACGATGTTCCGCACGGTGAAGGAGAGCGAGACGGTGGACTGGCGGCAGCACTGCTTCCTGCTGCAGGCCAGCGGCGCCGCGCCCGCCGGTCCGCGCGCCGGCCCGCGCTACTTCAGCACCGACACGCGCCGCGACCTGCTGCGCGTGGAGGCCGCCTGGACGCACAACATCGTGCACTCCGTCGTGCGCCTGGGGGTGAGTGCAGTACAGTGCAGTGCAGTACAGTACAGTGCGGTACAGTACAGTACAGTACGGTACAGTACAGTACAGTACGGTACGGCCCGCGCTACTTCAGCACCGACACGCGCCGCGACCTGCTGCGCGTGGAGGCCGCCTGGACGCACAACATCGTGCACTCCGTCGTGCGCCTGGGGGTGAGTGCAGTACAGTGCAGTGCAGTACAGTACAGTGCGGTACAGTACAGTGCAGTACAGTACAGTACAGTACAGTACAGTACGGCCCGCGCTACTTCAGCACCGACACGCGCCGCGACCTGCTGCGCGTGGAGGCCGCCTGGACGCACAACATCGTGCACTCCGTCGTGCGCCTGGGGGTGAGTGCAGTACAGTGCAGTGCAGTACAGTACAGTGCGGTACAGTACAGTACAGTACGGTACAGTACAGTACAGTACGGTACGGCCCGCGCTACTTCAGCACCGACACGCGCCGCGACCTGCTGCGCGTGGAGGCCGCCTGGACGCACAACATCGTGCACTCCGTCGTGCGCCTGGGGGTGAGTGCAGTACAGTGCAGTGCAGTACAGTACAGTGCGGTACAGTACAGTACAGTACGGTACAGTACAGTACAGTACGGTACGGCCCGCGCTACTTCAGCACCGACACGCGCCGCGACCTGCTGCGCGTGGAGGCCGCCTGGACGCACAACATCGTGCACTCCGTCGTGCGCCTGGGGGTGAGTGCAGTACAGTGCAGTGCAGTACAGTACAGTGCGGTACAGTACAGTACAGTACGGTACAGTACAGTACAGTACGGTACGGCCCGCGCTACTTCAGCACCGACACGCGCCGCGACCTGCTGCGCGTGGAGGCCGCCTGGACGCACAACATCGTGCACTCCGTCGTGCGCCTGGGGGTGAGTGCAGTACAGTGCAGTGCAGTACAGTACAGTACAGTACAGTACAGTACAGTACAGTACAGTACAGTACAGTACGGCCCGCGCTACTTCAGCACCGACACGCGCCGCGACCTGCTGCGCGTGGAGGCCGCCTGGACGCACAACATCGTGCACTCCGTCGTGCGCCTGGGGGTGAGTGCAGTACAGTGCAGTGCAGTACAGTACAGTGCGGTACAGTACAGTGCAGTACAGTACAGTACAGTACAGTACGGCCCGCGCTACTTCAGCACCTACACGCGCCGCGACCTGCTGCGCGTGGAGGCCGCCTGGACGCACAACATCGTGCACTCCGTCGTGCGCCTGGGGGTGAGTGCAGTACAGTGCAGTGCAGTACAGTACAGTGCGGTACAGTACAGTGCAGTACAGTACAGTACAGTACAGTACGGCCCGCGCTACTTCAGCACCTACACGTGCCGCGACCTGCTGCGCGTGGAGGCCGCCTGGACGCACAACATCGTGCACTCCGTCGTGCGCCTGGGGGTGAGTGCAGTACAGTGCAGTGCAGTACAGTACAGTGCGGTACAGTACAGTACAGTACGGTACAGTACAGTACAGTACGGTACGGCCCGCTCTACTTCAGCACCGACACGCGCCGCGACCTGCTGCGCGTGGAGGCCGCCTGGACGCACAACATCGTGCACTCCGTCATGCGCCTGGGGGTGAGTGCAGTACAGTGCAGTGCAGTACAGTACAGTGCGGTACAGTACAGTGCAGTACAGTACAGTACAGTACAGTACGGCCCGCGCTACTTCAGCACCGACACGCGCCGCGACCTGCTGCGCGTGGAGGCCGCCTGGACGCACAACATCGTGCACTCCGTCGTGCGCCTGGGGGTGAGTGCAGTACAGTGCAGTGCAGTACAGTACAGTACAGTGCGGTACAGTACAGTACAGTACGGTACAGTACAGTACAGTACGGTACGGCCCGCGCTACTTCAGCACCGACACGCGCCGCGACCTGATGCGCGTGGAGGCCGCCTGGACGCACAACATCGTGCACTCCGTCGTGCGCCTGGGGGTGAGTGCAGTACAGTGCAGTGCAGTACAGTACAGTGCGGTACAGTACAGTACAGTACGGTACAGTACAGTACAGTACGGTACGGCCCGCGCTACTTCAGCACCGACACGCGCCGCGACCTGCTGCGCGTGGAGGCCGCCTGGACGCACAACATCGTGCACTCCGTCGTGCGCCTGGGGGTGAGTGCAGTACAGTGCAGTGCAGTACAGTACAGTGCAGTGCAGTACAGTACAGTGCGGTACAGTACAGTACAGTACGGTACGGCCCGCGCTACTTCAGCACCGACACGCGCCGCGACCTGCTGCGCGTGGAGGCCGCCTGGACGCACAACATCGTGCACTCCGTCGTGCGCCTGGGGGTGAGTGCAGTACAGTGCAGTGCAGTACAGTACAGTGCGGTACAGTACAGTACAGTACGGTACAGTACAGTACAGTACGGTACGGCCCGCGCTACTTCAGCACCGACACGCGCCGCGACCTGCTGCGCGTGGAGGCCGCCTGGACGCACAACATCGTGCACTCCGTCGTGCGCCTGGGGGTGAGTGCAGTACAGTGCAGTGCAGTACAGTACAGTGCGGTACAGTACAGTACAGTACGGTACAGTACAGTACAGTACGGTACGGCCCGCGCTACTTCAGCACCGACACGCGCCGCGACCTGCTGCGCGTGGAGGCCGCCTGGACGCACAACATCGTGCACTCCGTCGTGCGCCTGGGGGTGAGTGCAGTACAGTGCAGTGCAGTACAGTACAGTGCGGTACAGTACAGTACAGTACGGTACAGTACAGTACAGTACGGTACGGCCCGCGCTACTTCAGCACCGACACGCGCCGCGACCTGCTGCGCGTGGAGGCCGCCTGGACGCACAACATCGTGCACTCCGTCGTGCGCCTGGGGGTGAGTGCAGTACAGTGCAGTGCAGTACAGTACAGTGCGGTACAGTACAGTGCAGTACAGTACAGTACAGTACAGTACAGTACGGCCCGCGCTACTTCAGCACCGACACGCGCCGCGACCTGCTGCGCGTGGAGGCCGCCTGGACGCACAACATCGTGCACTCCGTCGTGCGCCTGGGGGTGAGTGCAGTACAGTGCAGTGCAGTACAGTACAGTGCGGTACAGTACAGTACAGTACGGTACAGTACAGTACAGTACGGTACGGCCCGCGCTACTTCAGCACCGACACGCGCCGCGACCTGCTGCGCGTGGAGGCCGCCTGGACGCACAACATCGTGCACTCCGTCGTGCGCCTGGGGGTGAGTGCAGTACAGTGCAGTGCAGTACAGTACAGTGCGGTACAGTACAGTACAGTACGGTACAGTACAGTACAGTACGGTACGGCCCGCGCTACTTCAGCACCGACACGCGCCGCGACCTGCTGCGCGTGGAGGCCGCCTGGACGCACAACATCGTGCACTCCGTCGTGCGCCTGGGGGTGAGTGCAGTACAGTGCAGTGCAGTACAGTACAGTGCGGTACAGTACAGTACAGTACGGTACAGTACAGTACAGTACGGTACGGCCCGCGCTACTTCAGCACCGACACGCGCCGCGACCTGCTGCGCGTGGAGGCCGCCTGGACGCACAACATCGTGCACTCCGTCGTGCGCCTGGGGGTGAGTGCAGTACAGTGCAGTGCAGTACAGTACAGTGCGGTACAGTACAGTGCAGTACAGTACAGTACAGTACAGTACAGTACGGCCCGCGCTACTTCAGCACCGACACGCGCCGCGACCTGCTGCGCGTGGAGGCCGCCTGGACGCACAACATCGTGCACTCCGTCGTGCGCCTGGGGGTGAGTGCAGTACAGTGCAGTGCAGTACAGTACAGTGCGGTACAGTACAGTACAGTACGGTACAGTACAGTACAGTACGGTACGGCCCGCGCTACTTCAGCACCGACACGCGCCGCGACCTGCTGCGCGTGGAGGCCGCCTGGACGCACAACATCGTGCACTCCGTCGTGCGCCTGGGGGTGAGTGCAGTACAGTGCAGTGCAGTACAGTACAGTGCGGTACAGTACAGTACAGTACGGTACAGTACAGTACAGTACGGTACGGCCCGCGCTACTTCAGCACCGACACGCGCCGCGACCTGCTGCGCGTGGAGGCCGCCTGGACGCACAACATCGTGCACTCCGTCGTGCGCCTGGGGGTGAGTGCAGTACAGTGCAGTGCAGTACAGTACAGTGCGGTACAGTACAGTACAGTACGGTACAGTACAGTACAGTACGGTACGGCCCGCGCTACTTCAGCACCGACACGCGCCGCGACCTGCTGCGCGTGGAGGCCGCCTGGACGCACAACATCGTGCACTCCGTCGTGCGCCTGGGGGTGAGTGCAGTACAGTGCAGTGCAGTACAGTACAGTGCGGTACAGTACAGTACAGTACGGTACAGTACAGTACAGTACGGTACGGCCCGCGCTACTTCAGCACCGACACGCGCCGCGACCTGCTGCGCGTGGAGGCCGCCTGGACGCACAACATCGTGCACTCCGTCGTGCGCCTGGGGGTGAGTGCAGTACAGTGCAGTGCAGTACAGTACAGTGCGGTACAGTACAGTACAGTACGGTACAGTACAGTACAGTACGGTACGGCCCGCGCTACTTCAGCACCGACACGCGCCGCGACCTGCTGCGCGTGGAGGCCGCCTGGACGCACAACATCGTGCACTCCGTCGTGCGCCTGGGGGTGAGTGCAGTACAGTGCAGTGCAGTACAGTACAGTGCGGTACAGTACAGTACGGCCAGCTCTATTACAGTACAGTAAAACTGCATAAGATAGATACGTTAGATTTGATTTGTTCATAAGTTGTATATTATAATTTCTTGTCAAAAAAATATTTGTGGTGGGGTGTAAAGCGTGCGTGTTGTGTTGCAGAAGAAGACGTTCACGGTGGTGCACCTGGGGCGCGCGGCCGGGCTCACGCTGGACTGGGCGAGCGGCTTCTCGCTCAGCGAGGGCACGCCCGGCGCGCCGCCCGTCTGGGCCTACAGGCAAGTGCCGGCACACGACACACGACATGCGACACATCCACTTCACATATATCGCCATTCTCACTTATCCATGTACACCTTTTGCTTCTGTTCGAACCAATTGTGCTCACACAACAGATTTCGCTTACGCATAGCTCTATATACAATCAATCATTATAACTACAGCCACTGCTGAACATAGCTAACACGCTCACATGATGATAATGATTGTGATGCTGATATTTCTTCCGATAGGCGTCGTATAAATTTTGTGTGTTCGCTTCTCATATATATCATCGTATTCCTCATGTATAATGTTCTATGATGATCAGCGTCAAAGGCACTGTTTTTTTTTTAATAAAAAAAAACCATTAACCGCAGACTAGGATTTTCTCCTGTATCGTGGAGACATTTTACATATATAAATTACACAAGGACAAATTATTTGTAGGCCATACAAATATTTATTCCGTGCGGGATTGAAACCCGAGACCCTCAATGCTGCAACTAATTGTTAAGTCACCTTGCCACGGAGCATTCAACGTTATGATAGGCATGATATGTTCAACTATGAACTGTTTCATCATCTTCATTACAACACTTCACAAGTTCACTGTTCGACATAGGCCTCCCCCTAGAAATGCCACAAAACACTGAGCCACCTGCATACATCGACTTCCTGCATGTATTACCAGGTTGTCACTCCATATAATGGGGAAACGCCCTACACTTCTTCCGCCGGTACAAGGCTGCCACTCGAGAACCTTTTTACCCCATCAGTTGTCGGTTCTTCGAGATATATGGCCGGCCCATTACCACTTCAGCTTACTAAGCTTACTCTAGTTCTACTGCGGATGTCCTCATTTCTAAGTTTATCACGCAGAGAAACTCTGAGCATAGCCCTCTCCATAGCTCGCTGAGCGACCTTAAGCTTCCTCATTCGGCCAGCAGTGAAAAACCACGTCTCAGTTTCATAGGTCATAACTGGCAACACGCACTGGTTGTACAGTCTCGTTTTCAAGTTTTGAGGTATAACTGACGAGATGGGCCGTAATTTTCCGAACGCTGCCCAGCCGAGTTGAATCCGTCGATTGACCTCTCGGTCGAAATTGGAATTACCTAGTCAGACTATTTGTCCCAGGTAAACATACTCGTCAACAACTTCGAGCTTAGTGCTCCCAACAACTACCTGCATAGGTGTGACATGGAGATTAAACATGATCTTTGTTTTGTAAATGTTCATCTTAAGATCTATGCGTTTGGAGACAATATTGAGGTCATTGAGCATAGTACTTAGGTCGTCCAGCGATTCTGCCATAAAAACTATATCGTCGGCAAATCGAAGGTGAGTTGTGTACTCGCCGTTGATGTTAATACCGTATCCTTTCCAGTCCAGAAGCTAGAAAACGTCTTCCAATGCAGCGGTAAAGAGTTTCGGGGATATAACGTCACCCTGTCTTACACCTCTCTGGAGTTGGATAGGTTTCGTACTCTGTTTCTGTACTCGGATAGCCATTGTAGCTCTACTGTACAAACACTTCAGCACTTCGATATACCAACAGTCAACTTGGCACCATTTGCCGAAGGGTATGTTTGTGGTTTTATGGTGCTAAAGCCTTTTCGGATACTGGCTTGTTCAGGAGACTGGAAGTCGCCGTGTCTGCGTGCGAGACGATTCGTAATGATTTTTTTTTATAGGAGAGAGGGCAAACGAGCATGCGGCTCACCTGATAGTAAATGACTACCGCCGCCCATGAACAACCGCAACACCAGGGGAATTGCAGATGCGTTGCCGGCCTTTTAGAAAGGAGTAGGCTCTTTTCTTGAAGGTCCCTAAGTCGTATCAGAAGGTTCCTGTCTGCGGTGAACTGTTTACTAGCGTTAAAATTAAACTATATAGATATTTTTTTCTTATAACAAGTTTTGTTACAGGTTTTCACAGTTGAGGGGTTCAAGTGATGATGGAAAGTCGAAGTTAAAATTACATTTTCAAGATACTGAGACCAAGGTTATCGAAACTAAGGTAAGCATTTTTATTTAGTTACTACATGATATTGTAGCCGCGCTGTCGTCGCGCCACAAGCGAAACATATTGAAGCCTAAATCGCACTAGCAAAGTTCTGAAGTTAAAGCAGTATATATAGAATAGCTCCGAACTACCACTTGGAGCGTTGGCCGCTCCCCGGGCAGCACACCTTGCCCGGCGGGAGATCTCCCCTTTTCCTTCCACCGGCTACAATATAAATATATCAGTTTGTTTGTTACCTTTTACGATTTAGCTTGAAGAAGACCTTAGAGCTTCTTTTTAATTGAATTATTATTCATTACAGTCTATACAAGTCAACTGCTGAACATAGGCCTCCATAGATTGCCTAATAGAAAATTTTACTATAGCCGGAACACTTATTTTGCGGCATAAATAGATAACAAACCTACCCAATTGGACTTCTAAGTAGAAACCTAGAATACGGTGATAGATACTCTTTCGCTTTCTTTCTTTCTTTACCATAGCGAAATAAAACCTGATGTCCTCTTATTAATATAACCACGTTTTCTATACACGGTAGAGCCGTGCTACCGCCATATTATGAATGGATTAGAATGGGTCGCCTCGACCGGGGTAGCACGCCGCTCTCACAGAATACCAGCGTAAAATAGCAGCGCAATGCTGCTGTGTTTCGTATGGTAAGTGTAGAGAACCGGAGAACCTTTTTACTGTATACGAGGTATTCCATCTTAGTCCTCAGTGGTGACAACGTATCCGCATTTTGATTCTTAATCGGGGATAGATGTAGATGTCTATGCGCCACAGCAAAATCAGGCGGACTGTGTGCTCGCGTGTCACCTTTATTCTATACATTAAAAAAAAACATTTGCCCACAGGAGTTAGAATGCCAGATACTACAGAGTCTCCTGTTCTGTATGCACGCGTTCCTTACTGCCAAAGTGGCGTCCGTCGATCCAGCCTTCCTCGCTTCGATACAGCAGTCAAATTAATCCCTTATGCCGCAGTCATTAAGACCGGTATTTCTTTATTTTTAAATTCGGAATAAGATTTGTCAATTGAATTGTTGTGCAAATTAAGAATTAATGTAGTGCGCATAAACAAACTTTATTACCTATCGGTAAGGTTAAGTTTTGATTGTGACAAATGTACGAGTATGTTAATAGGCTTATTTAAAAACGATTTGCTCATATTGAAATTTGAAATTATAAATGCTGTTATGAGATTTTAAATAAGTTACGTTTTGTTCATAATTATGGTCGATAGTGTACTTTTATATTTTTCAGTACTAATGTAACAATATTGAATTTGTTTATAATTTTGTTTTGGTATTGTACTATCATAAATATGCGTTCACATTTCAAAGCAAAGCATTTTGTATTCAATATGCATACTAAAACTGTTTTATACCGCTTCATTTTTATTACTTAGATTTTTTTTAAATTTAAATGTCTAATACCCAAATACTCAAACGCTACTCAATTTTGAGACGCCTTTAAATCTCGTGGTGTCACTGTCACTTTGACTTAAAGTGATAGAGACAACACGAGACTTAACGACGTCTTAAAATTGAGTAGCGTTTGAGTATTTGGGCATAAGAAACAGCGAACCTGTTTAGATTTATTCATTCGGAAATAGTTTTTAAGTGTTCTAATCTAAGAAATAAACAAAACTTATTCCAAATAATAACAATTAAAAAAATTAATAATTATTGTCTTCCTGTAATTTTTTTAGATTTCTTTTGTACTTTATATAAATTCTCTTTAATTCCAATAAATATCAAACAATAATATTATAGGCTTAGAAAATAGTTTTTGGTTAAGCAAATTTTACAGTTTAGAAAGAGGTGAAAATGATGGTAATAAGATTGCCTTCCTGTGTAATATTATTACTTACACCGTGCATGGATCTGAGGTTCTCAAATATTTGTTAACTATTATTCACTTTTACACTTTTTTTCTTCTTATTTTTAATAATAATAATTTTTTTCAAATATATCTTAATGATATTTTCGATTGAATGGTAACTATTGCATTGAATTAAATTGCGAAAATTAATAATCTAATTAATGTATAATTAATATAGCGTCGCATTACTAGTAAATAATAAAGAAAAAACGATTAGGTCGTACATAAAACATTCTACATGACATTGACATATAAACTTGAATTTAACATAGTTACATGTGAACGCATGTATTTGTAATGTGTTGTATCAACATGGTTTGAGATGTAATAACATGTTGTTACCAATTAGCGGAACACGCTAAATATTGTGTCTTAGATTTTTTTGTTGCATTTACTGGTTTGTAATCTCTGAAAATTCCTTAATCTGACTGACTTCACCAAAGATAATAAGTATTATAATTTTATTAATTCTCTTTCCCATCTCTTTTTTTGGTTTAATCTAGACTAATGGTATACAACATTGTTTTTGAATATTTATTAATACTATATTCGTTTATTTACAATGTAATAATAGTTATTTTTACTTATTGTAATGTTATTTTTAATTGTTAAGAAAACTTTTATATACCTACTTATAAAAAATATTAGCTGTAAAATTGCTCCATGACTTTTAAATTAAGGCCATTTAAATTTGTTACAAAGTAGATGGTTATATGTAATTGACTAATCATATTACATTTGATTAGTGATTTGAAATATACGGATACGAAAGTTGCGATCGTGTATGGATACCACGAAAAAAGGGAAATAAGTAGCGAACTCTCACTTTTTAAATTGTGATCAGTCTTCTATGATTTTTTTTATTTTCTTTCATCTTTCCTGCTTCTTTTCTGGCCTTGATTACAGTACTAATATAGTCTTGCATTTTTTGGACAAGTTGCCAAAAATAAACCTTAGACTTTGGCTATTTTGTATAGATCATAAGATATAATATATTGATATATATTTTGACTACAACCATAACTAATGAATTGTAATGTTGTTATTAAAAAAAAAAAGTATATTCGTTTATATTAACACCGCTCAAAATGAGCAAAAATGCCAGTTAGGAGTGTTCATTACAGTAGTTGAATGGCGCATTCGACCGACAAATTCTTAAGTTTGCGTTACCATTAGCTACTGTCGCTTAAGTTTTGGGTGATACAGCGCTTTAGCTTTGAAAAGCCTATCTAATCTTCCCTTGAAGACACCTACATTGTTTTGGGACGAAAAGACATACAGGCAAATTATTCGAGTCTTGCTTCAACTTCGTCCGAATGTTAGGTATATCCACAACGAAAGTACGGAAAGACTCCGTTGGTTTTGTTGTTTGTTATTTGAAAGGGGTTGGGTGAATTAAATCGTGTTTTATAACTTTCATTGTTAGGGAGGCATGATCACATCGAATATGTAATATATTATCTATAATATAATAACTAAGTTGATATAATAGCTTTGAAAGACATGACTTTGAAAAAATTTTGAAGAAATGACTTTTAAAATTAAAAAAAAGGAGCAAAAAAAATTTTGTAAATGCGATAATTGTGTGTACATGTCTGTATATTTAATTTTCTTTAATGTATTACAACTGGTGGTAGTGAAACTTTGCGCTCGCGTCATATCATTAAAATTAAGCAAAATTTATATTCGAAATCGTACACCATAGCGTTTTATATTTATTAGATGTTACTTTTAGAGAGATTCGTTCGTTAAGCCAAAATTTTTCATATATTTATCTAGATTGATCTGCCCGATGCAAAATGGCTCTATTTACTAGCTTAGTATATTTAATAGTTGTTTTTCTAACCTACGTTTGTAGCTCTAACGTCAAATGTCGATATTCGTCCCATCTGTAATTAAATTAAATTTTAGGATTTTAACTAATTTTAAATCTACTTTCATTCAGTACTGTTAGCAAAATAGTCTAGACTTAAAAAAATAAAGTTTACAAAGTGTACATATCTTATTCGCATTCTGAAAGAAAACCTTTTATAATATTTGTAGCAATAGAGGTGATATTATGGTCATTTAGGTTATGCAGGTAATATTTAATTCGACGAACTTTTGGGAAGTATTTTAACTATAAAATAAAAAAATATATATTCTCAAAAAGCAACACGTCCAAAAAATTTTACCTGCCACTATAATCTGACTAAATATAGACGGATTTGTATATTATTTAAAATAAATATTTAGACCAACAACGCACTGACAATTCCTCTGGTGTTGCAGATTGTTTTGGGAGGCGGTGATCTCTTCTCTTGCTATCAGAGCAACTGCATAAATAATGCTAAATAATTTTCCAAGTTCCTCGGAGAAAGAGGTTTAGTTTCATTGTGGTAATACACTCTCAAAGTTTGTCGGATGAAAAAACATTTCATAGAATTATTTACTGTACCCCATTAATAAATTCCTAAAAATGCATAATATTATATTTACGCGAATACTACACATGTATCAAAACTAATTTTACGGATTTTCAATTTTAACTTCTTTTTTTAAATTCCTGACTTTCGAGCACTTTGTAGCTCACCGGGGGGGGGGGGGGGGGGGGGGGGCGGGCGAAGCCTCCAGTAATATACTTGTACAGCGCTTTCAAATTTTATTTAGATGTGCACATGAAACAATTTTACTAAGTCAACTACCAAGACACTAGTCTAACCCGACGCGTAACTATGAACTGAACACTCGGGCAACGTGTGATCGCTGTTAAACCGACGCCACTAATAAACCGACACTATACTGCTTGTCGGCGAGTGCGCAAAGCGGCCTAGTACACGTTGGTCGAATGCACTCGCCGAGTACTGCTATAAGGTGTTTGACGTCCTGATGTCATAGTTAACGATGGCTACCTTCAACTTTTAATTATTGATCCGATCTACGCAAATTAAACGCGATGAAATCCGTAAAATTAATTTTATCCTGAAAAGCTCGTTAAAATTTAGCTTTGCGTTCCAATTATAGACTTATAGAAACACCTTTACTGCGTCAATTTAAGTAAGTTACAGTACTCGATATCGACAATACGTTTTATCGATACTAACGAATTTTTATCGATATGTTAGTATATAAATAATTCGATAGATATAGTAATATCTATCGAATTATTTATATACTAACATCCTGATCCGTCTCTGTACAGTAGTACAGAGACGGATCAGGCCTATGTTTCTGATAGTGTCCAAACGTGCAACGCTGCAAGATCTTTATCCCGCTAAGTTGTTTTAAAAATATCGATAAGTTTAGTCTTTTTTCACAGAAATCTTAATGTAACGTAAAAATCCCTTTTCCACTTCACATATTTTTCTGCGTAGTCTAGTCTTAGAGATTTCATACTTTGTAGTAATTTTGCAAATATCATACTATCATTTAGCAGAGAATTGTCAATACTGCGTTTGTTATTGTTGAGTTGAGAAATCTTATGGCCGATACACACGGTCTGTTAAACTGATCAGTTGAACTGACGTACATCCAAAATCTGACTGTGAGTGTGAAATCTTAAGTTGAAATTTGAAACCAGTGAGTGGGGAAATCGCTTTGGCTTACATCCGTTTTACCTGATCAGTTCAAATGATTAGTTTAACTGATCTCGTGTGTGTCGGCCATCATTGTTTCCATTGAACTAATATGTACTACGTACTGGAAAAGACACCGCGAACAAAATCAGCGCGGCAGTACGGGGCGCGTGGTCAGATCAGAGGCACAGAGTACTTTTTTAAGGCACAGACTAAGTAAAGTTTGAGCCCATGGGTGTTACAAACAACTAAGCGTACGTTGTCTCTTGTATTACGTAGTGCATATTACGTTAATATGATAGCTATATTTATGCGATTTTTTAAGTTAGTTTAAAATTTACTATCCATAATTTTTTGTAATTAATTATTACGTGACTCGTTTCCGTCGTTTTTGAAAAACCTTTAAATTTCGATTGAATAAAGAATAAGTCAATTTAGAGAAAGTACTCAAGACTGAGGGTAGGCACTACTAATTATTTTGTATTTTTAAAGAAGCGGCCATTTACTAAACGTAGAAAATTGCAAGAGTCC